CGAAATCGTTATGATTAGATACACACTATGATTTATGATTTATTAGAGCTGCTACGCGATTTTCGACCTTATGCGCGTAAAGCTGAAAATCGTGTAACACCTACACCGTGAGGAAAATATTTGTAATGTAACTTTAATTATTATAGTCAGGTGAACCGTTTTTTCTAGTAGATGTTACCGCAGGGTGTCTTATTTTAATGGAAACAGCGGAATATCTTAAACCTGAAATTGTATCTCAGTTAGCACGATGAATTTCTCAAGTGTTTCTCAAGTATTCTCCTCTCGTGAATTGTAATTCTTCGAGAATTCACAGAAGGACGCTGTAAAAATGATCTAGAAATTACATCATGATTCGAATTTCTGAGAACTTTTTGGAATATTCATACGGAATTATTTCGTATCAATAGAAGTGTACTTTATGAATTCAAGAGAAATAGTGTTTACGAATGAATGCAAAGAGGAATACAAAATACCCAATAAATATCGATTCTAAAAGTTACGTCAATAATATAATTTACTGCTAAACAATATAACTATTACGTACACGTGTTATATATAACACTTATACTATTGAGTGGGAAATTATAATACTGACATAATGTGTTTATTGTGTATTGTATATTATTATGTTATTGAGTTAATTGGTGTTCAGTGGGAAACAGTGGTTCTCTCCCAATTGAAATAATTAAAATACATTCAGCTTTCAACTACATGAAATGAAAAAAGGAATCCAAAATTGTGCGAAATCATATAAAACAAAGAAGAAATTATATGTTATAAGCGGTCACATTTCCTTCATTTCGTCGAATCTATTATTTCTTTTTTTCAGTGTAGTAACATTAACTAACATTAACTGGAAAAATGCTCTCGCCTGACTGTAATTTTTTCGCCTATGCGATTAGTTACAAATACCAAAGACTTTTTTCTCAGTGTGGGTATATACGTGTGCGTACGCAGGTAACACGTGACTTGGTAACGCCGCCGCCGTCGCAATTAGAACGTCGTAAAGGGGCTGTAATCGCGTTAAACACTGCTTCACTCGTAATCGCGCGGCTTCACATCGGCCGTGGAATAATACCGATTTTAGTCGGTACGCATATATACGCACATATATATATATATATATGTGTATACGTGTATATATCCCCCGGTCGACATCCTGCACCTGTCAATCTTCTGGCCGCGCACGATTATTTCCGATCCTGCCGTCGCAAGATAAACGGAGCCCGCCGGTGTGTAATTTACAACTTTATGATTTGATTCGACGCAATTATCGTCTCGCGATGCCGCCGTAATTGTATCGAACGTTCGTATTCGCCCCTTCTCGCTTTGTTCGGCACGCGACACACACACACACACATACACACAAACTCTGAATATTTCAGCCACAACTGAATATATACGAACGTTAATGACTTTTCTATCGGCGACTTTGTGTTGTTCAGTAATCACGCTGGCTGTACCCAAATTTGCGTAATTATTATCGCTATTATTACCGTTATTATTAAACATTTCCGCGCTTCCGTTGCGCCACCCATTTCGATTTATGCGAGAACGCGCTCGCCCGGTGTTTTATGCCGGCGCGACTGACGGTGCGCGCGAATCATTTATGTCGATGCATGATCGCCGAATTAAACGCGATACATCCGCGAACGGGGATAATTATCCACAATCAAGATCGGATAATCGGCGACGGGTGATAATACGCGTATATATTCGCAATTTGAATCGTCGACGTGCTCCGTCGCACCGAAATTTTCTCGCACACGAAAGATCGGTTTTGACGTGCGCGCTAGTTCGTACGCGATTCGATTGCGCTGCTCGTCGCATAATGCAGATTTATTATTAATACGCTTTAATTAATTTTCTTGTGTGTGTACGTGCGCACGATACGTCACGAGAATGGCACAGAGAATGCGAATTTGTGAGAAAGCAAGATAGAGAGAGAGAGAGAGAAAGAGAGAGAGATCACGCGGTATGACAGCATACACAATAAGACAACCACCGCATAGAATTCCGTCGCGAAGGGGCCGCCCTATTGTTCCTTTCGGCGTACGCGTCGTGAGAAACAAAGCGACAAAGGGCAAAACGCGTACCTCCGCTAATAAACAAATGCTTGTCAGCCGCTCCCCCTCCTCGTCCCGGGAGGCATGCGTCTGCGCACGACCGGCAATGAGCATTGAATTACGGCCGACGGGGCAATAAGATCCGTCGTAACCGCGCAAATGAACTCCTCAAGGACCGAGATTGATTATTAAACGCAACGCGCCACGGGCGGAATAATGTTCGTGCAAGCGAACGAGATCGCGTGACGCTTTGTTGCGTGAACCGCGCAAAGCAAGGTTGCGAAGTGGCGCGTTACTCGCTAGACGCCACTTTTCTTCAGTAGCGCCTTAGTAACGACGTTATTTTCTCACCTTTCTTGTCCGGCGACGACGACGTGATTCGAGAAGTATCAAGATCGACGCACCGTCCTGTTTTCAGGCTCCGAAATCCTTCCGTTGAGGATGTAGTTGAAAAATTTATACGCGTGAATGCAAAGCGGCAATATTTCTCTACCGCAAAATACATCGTAGTCTTGAAATGAAAATTATTACATTTTGGACCTTGCGTAAATAAATAATTTTGGAGAAGTTGTGGAAAGGACGCTTCGAGAAAGTGGACTCCAAAAGCGATGTCTATCAGAAAATGAAACAAAAAAGTACTAAAAATACGTTTTGTACATTTATTGTGTGTATTTGTATGTTATCTTTAATCTTACGTATTTTTTATTATGTAGAAAAAGATTCCCTGACTTTCACTTTCGGATCCATGCACCGAAGGGAGGATTTGATAAAGCATTGAAATTTGATGAATATTTGCCGACGAAATATTTGATTACTCAATTCAATAATTTAGTTTCGTGTACTAAATATACGATACACGGAACTACAGTAATGTTTATATAGTATACGGAACTAAATTATTTAGTTGCAGTAATCAAATATTTCAACGGCAAATGTTCACACGATTTTACTATTTACCGAATCCTTTTCTCAGTGTGTCGAACAAACAGGCAGGAACAAGGAAAGTTCAATCACTTATAGCTTCGACTGGTTTTGTGAGATGAAATTTCACAACAAATTCCGGTATGTCGGTTGAAGGATCAGTAAACTCAGATATTACGTCAGCTCGCGGGAACAACGTAACTCTAACGCCTCTCACGAGGTACATTATTGAAAAATTACTTATTACCCAGCAAAAGGAGCGACCGTTGTCGTTACTTCGAAAAATAACTCGTAATCGTTACTGTTACCGAAGAAGCAACGGAAGTCGTTGCAATTCCTGTCATTTCGCTCCTCGAATTCTGAATTCCCTCCCTTTTTTACCCCACCTATCCCGCGTAACCGTAATCTATGCGCGCAAAATGACGATGCGATATCGGTTACTGTTGCAGTAAAAATCTAATTGCGTTACCGTTATGACCGAAGGAACCGTGGCGGAGATAATGGCGGAAGAGCCGTAACTTCCTCTTACCGTTAATTAGACCTTCCCCCGGTGAAAGAATGCTCCGGATATTCTTCCGTCTTGTCGGAGCGGGTCGCAGAGCACCGTACGTAACTCACGAACGAGCCAAGTATTGTCGGTAATCGAAGATACGCTTTTATTACGAAATTTCCAATTTCTCGCGGTACAGGTGTACTCGGTGTGAGATTCGCGCGAGAGACGCGGATTATTTACAGGATCCCGACGCGAAAAGTCGCCACCGCCTGCCGTCGTCGTCTTCGTCGCGATCACTGGCCCGATTGTATAAGCACGATGGAAAAACTCGGCGGAAATGCTCAAGCGAGCGTGATGAGACGCGCGATCCCCGGTAAGCAATCGCGGCCCCGTCGAGCAAGCGCGCATCAACCGCGCTCGGCATTTTAATGACGCAGACTAATTTGTGCTTCTCATAACGGATGATACGATAGCGAAATACGAGCTCGTACGAGCGTCGAGTCCACTTCCACGCTCGCAAAACAGATCGTGTTCGCGATACGCGCCTCTTCCTTGTATTATTCCCTCTCTCCCCCTCCCCCTCCACCACCCCTCTTTTCCGCTGGAAACCGTCGCGCGACACGTGCGGATTTTCGCGACGCATAAGTGATGAATATGCAAAATGCGAGCGACAGAGACGACGACGACGAGATGGAAGCGGTGGTAGCGATAACGACGACGATGAGAACGATGGCGATGACGGGTGGTGATGATGATGGCGATGATGACGGGAAGAAAAGCGCGACGTCGGGACGCGTATGGCGCGGCTCCTCGTATCCGCACTTCGCTGCCTCCCGTGCAGGTGTTCCGTAAACTTGGACGTCAACGAGAGGAAAGTATACGGCGAGGTGACCCTTCAGCCGCCTCCTTGGAGTTCCGGCGAAGTTACGACGCGGGTGCTGTGCCAGAGGAAAGAAAAGAGAGAGAGTGTGTTAACATCGGCGAGCGAAACTGCGGCGAAGGCTGTGAGAGAGCGCGGAATTGTGAGCTAAGGCTAATGATAAGTCGATGGTGGGTCGAGGAGCTGCTCTCGTCGAATCTCCCCCTCGGAGTCGAATCATTGATCATGACGACGATGACGTCACTGTGCGGTGATACGCATCGTCTCGCAATTAATCGGCGATAATTAGCCCGGCCGCCGACTCACCGTGCTGCGTCGGCGGCGCGGCGGATTTAAATCGGTTTACCCGAGTCGAAATTTCGACGCCGTTTCGACGGACCCTTAAGGATAGTTTGCGTCTACACAGGGGAAAATGTCTACCGCTGAGAAAAGCGATCACTCGGTTTACTTTCCTTCTTTTTAAGTAATCAGTTACTCTCGACAAAGGGTGTTTCCTCGATACGATAGTCTTGGAATATACTCGTCGCAAATTCGAGAAAAGTTCATTGTACTCAGAGGAATTCAATTCTCTCATTTCAAGAATACTAGAAACTTTACCGAGAAAAGAAAGGCTAAATCCGGTCAATTTGAATAAGCAAACCGAAGTTTGTTTTAATCTAATTTTCCCGATTGATGTGCCAACTTATAAAACTTGTTAGGATTTGAATATATTTGGAATAAATTTGATGCTTACGATGAACTTGGAATGTACCTGCGAATATATAAACTCAGGAAATATTCGAAACAAGTAATACGTATTTGAATGCGGTGTGTGTTTTTTTCTGTGTGTGCCTAACTAACCTTTCGCTATCTTAGTCTCCTATTATGTTGCGGAATTAATTAATGTTTTAACACGGGGCCAAGATTTCGACTCGGGTACGTCCGTCGGATGCGGATGAGAGATCTTCGGTCGGCTTTCAGTTGCCGTTTTGCGTTTCTCACATTGCTTGCTTACATTGCACGCTGGCTTACACATACCGCACTTGCGACATACCGTTCGTGATGTACTTCGCGCACTTTAGCGCGGGTCTGCCTCTGATCTTGACCGTAACTCGCAATATCAAAATTAGCTTAGCTAAAAAATTAAGTCAAAAGCGCAAAATTAATTCGGTGCCGCGATCTCGCCGGGCGACCCCGGCGAGCGAAATATTCCTATGGCCGAAATTGCGAAGAGTCTTCTCGCTTTCCCTCTAGAGAGGAAAGAACGTTTTGACGTAAAACCTTCGGTCGGAAGAAAAGGAAATATACACAGGGTGTCTGATGCAGAGCTCGTGCCAACGCTCGTGCGCAAATGGAGCCCCATCAAACTGAATGAAGAGATTCTCCGCCGTTTCTCAAACGACCACGACGTATTAATTAATATAATTACGTTAATTAATTTTTAAAGCAGCCACGAACTTAATTAATATAATGAACGATGTCTCGATTAATTATCGTTGTTCTTTATAAAATGCCAAAGAGGACTTTTTTATTCAGTTTTCTTTCTTTTATTTAACTCGCCGAGCTCTGCCTGCGCACGAGCGCATTAGCACGCGCTCCGTCAAACATCCGTGCGTGTGCAAAGAGCAAAAGTTCGGATCAAAAGGCAAGGAGGAAAAAAGAGAACGAGTCTCGCGTGCGAAACAGCTCAAAGTGTCGGATTGAAAGCAACAAAGAAGAAACGTGAGGAGATGTGGCCTGTAAAACAACGCAGTTCCAAGCGTGTGCGAAATATTGACACGTACTTTCGGCGGGTGCTGGCGCAGCTTCCGCTGCGGGCGTCGCGTCCGCAGCAGCTGCAGGTGCGGCACTTTCGGCGGCCGCAGGTGGTGCACCTTCCGCTGAAGCGGCAGCAGGAGCGGCGCCTTCGGCGGGAGCTCCTTCCGCTGGCGCTCCTTCCGCCGGCGGTGCCGCCGGGGTTGCGCCTGCGAATTTACTTGTTATCACTGGGAATTACGGGATTTCTGCTATCACGGTCGGGGGGAGGGGTTGTATGATCGATCATAATCACCCGTTACAACGGGTATCTCTTTTGGGATCGGCGGAACTAAAAACGAACGTGATTAACATTGACATTGATCGATCGGCGGCCGGGCGGCACGCGAGAAAGCTTTTTTGAAATTACCGGTCGAACGGAACGCGTCGCAATTATGACGTACCGCCTTGATTTATCATTTACGCGCCGGCCGACACGAAATGACGATGTTGGAAATTAACCGGGAAAAGCGCGCCAATCGATTATTCGCTCGAAATTCACTCGAAATTTCATCCTCTCCCGCCGCAAACGTACCCCAATTTCCGCTGGACGCGCGCCTGCACGACGCGCGTGCACGGGCGTAATTTACTCCGGAAAATATCAACGCAAACCGGAGAATATCATATTACCCGTTTCGACTGTCGAGGCACGTCCGAGAAGAAAAAATGTCAAACAAGCCTGGGTAATTTTACACCATCGGGTTATAAAAATATATAAAAATATCAGAATAAAATGTTAATTGCCGTAATAATATATAAATGTTGGCTTTAGCGAGCGAATATATTTCGGTCGGGTGAAACAGGTGTATTTGCTAATTTCCACCGTTTTTTCCCACCGAAGGATATTATTCGACAAAAATTCTCCCCGTGTACGCCACTTTGTCGGCTAATAGATTAAAATCACATTGCTTTACGTTTAACGAAACTGAAATGCCCCGGTCGGAATTTAGAATTAAAATCTCGCCCCTTCTTTCCTTTTCATTCTTATTTCGCCTCATTGTACCACCATTCCGATTTAAACCTCCATTGTAGCGCACACAGCATCGCCAGTGATTAGTATCGCTGCCCTTAAAATTTACCCTGTTACTTCACCGACATCAGGGAGGCAAGCAGGGGGTGAGAAGAGAGCTTAAAAAGTAACCTTCGGCAGGAGGTGCGGCGGGTGCAGCGCCTTCCGCGGGTGCACCTTCGGCTGGAGCGGCGGCAGGCGCAACACCTTCAACGGGAGGCGCTCCTTCGGCGGGTGCAGCTGCAGGTGCACCTTCCGCTGGAGGTGCAGTGCCTTCCACGGGTGCGGCTCCTTCCGCCGCCGGTGCGGCGCCTTCCGTAGGTGGAGCGGCGGCGCCTTCTGCCGGGGCCGCAGCGGGTGCGCCTTCTGCAAATGCAATGAACAATCATTGCACCGAAGTCCAAAACAAAATCAAGCGCTACATTCGAGCAAAATATTCGCTAAGGAGTATTGGAGTGATTATTTTAAGTAAATATTAATCGAATGTAGCGCATTGAATGAAAAAGTGCCGCATTCAAGTAGTACTTACTTAATCCAAGTGAAGTAATTATTCCAATATATTCCTTAGCGAGTATCTACTTGAGTACAGCACTTTTTCCTCCGGTGTAACATTCGTACCGTCATGTATGATAATAATAATTTTATATTTTATGTATTGGTATGCGATGTATGAATGGAAAAGTGGAATATTAAAGGAGACATATTTGCATAAAGAACAGACCAGCCAATCGCAAAATGTTCTTCTCATGCAAAACGAACAATTTTTCCTGAGTTTTATTAAAATCGGAATAATATCCGAATTAAAAAAGAGTCCGATTTGAAGGCAGCCGAATAAATTGTCGAGTGCCTCGAAATTTCGTATTAATATTCTCCATCGCGAAATAAACGTATTTAACTAACGTGTTGTTAGTTCGAATAGAATTTTTTACACCTGCATGATACACCATGTTTTGCATAATAAAAGCAATTTCTATTAATAAAACAACTGGGAGAAATCGAGCGTATGTGAATAAATGGAAGAGGTTGGTCGTGCAGGTTTAACCACCTCGCAAGCTCGTACACGATGGCCGATTGCATTATTTGTTGGTTAAATTATTTCTAAAATCAACCGTTCGATACGACGTTTAAAAAAAATGACAGATTTTTAATAGAATAATTCGCACTGATGTCAATAAAAAATCAAATATCACTGTGTATCGAAAAATAATCCGAGAGGAACGAGAGGAAAGGAAAGATTTACCGGCGGGAGCTGGCGCGGCCCCTTCAGCCGGGGCTGCGCCTTCTGCGGGAGGAGCAGCCGCTGGAGCACCTTCGGCTGGAGGTGCCGGTGAAGGTGCCGGTGCTGGAGGCGCAGGAGCCGGTGCAGGCTCCGCTGGTGGTGGCGCGGGAGTCGGTTCGGGGGCTGGTTCTGGTGTCGGTGTTGGTTCCGGTGGTGGTGGTTCCGCTGCAGGTGCCTCGGCTTGCTCGCCCTCCTGCGTGTGAAACGGGCGTTTTCACGGATTGCATTTATCGGTCGGCCTCATGCACAACGTGTACCGTTTAGTAGGCTGCCGCGAAAGTTTCGCCGTTTTTAACTATGGAATTCGGACTCAGCTGGTTATCGATTCGAGCGTTAAAGAGGAGGAAAGGTGACCTCTGAACGAGCAATATTCTTATCACCACGCTTATCAACGAGCGATAAAAGAATAACGAGTAATAATGAATTACAATTATTTAACGACGGAGCGTATCGTAAAACCGCGTTTATTGCGATCTGAGGTGAAACTTGGAGAGAGTGACTTTTTGAGGAGTGTCAATTTCAGACCACCGTAACGGAACACGGACAAAAATGACGAGCGATATGTCTCTCGTTGGCGACACGGTCCCAACGCGACCATCCGATCGACAAGCGCCGGAACAGGCCGGCTCGGCTCTTAAATTGTATGATTAACGGTCGGCGTGCGCGTTTCGCAAATGTAGTCGCATTAAACCGCCGTTTATAGATACGTCATTTGTCCCGGCGCTCCCGATAATAATGCTTTATGCAACGCCCGAGCTTACGACACACCGACCGCGCGCGCTCTCCCCTCCTCCCCTCTACCTTCAATCCCCCTCCCTCCCCTCTACCTTCAATCCCCCTCCCTCCCCTCTAACCTGTTTCCCTCGGCGACGGCGTTTTGCGCCATAAATCATCGCGGCCATTATGATCGCGAATATTGTCAAGATAATTAAACAATGTGCACGACACCCGGCTACGATTATAAATACGGTCGAACGGGCTGGAACGCGTGTCGGAATACGGGGATGGGGGGATCGGGAGGAGGGGGAGCGCGTTTCACGCCAGCATTGCGGAAAACGGACTCGGCAAATCGCGAAATAAACAGGCGGATTGAAAATCGACGCGTGTAACGCGTTCGCGCGCGCCGATGGGAAAGGCAGTCCCGGGCGTTTGTCCGGAGTCAATATAATGGCGCTTTTGTTCAGAGTGCCGTTTAATTGGACACATCAGTGTCTATTATCGGCGCGCAAATTGGCGCGATAATTAATAATATGCGTGCGAAAGAAAGCCGGCGCGCGATAGGAGAGCGCGCAAGTTGCGCGCCGAGCTGACGGCCGGAAAAGCCCGGCCGAGAAGCAGCGATACTGGATTTGACTTTCGGGATTTTCGAGTCGGTGTGTTTTCGGGGGGGTTTTTTTTTCCGTTTGTTTTCGCGGATTTGTCTCCGAATGTTTCGCGATTGTATCTCGATTCGCTTCATCGGGGAGAGGAGCGAACCGACGCCGAGTCGAAAGCTACTCGGTAAGCGGACGGAATACCGTACAGCTTTTTCCACGTAAGTTTTCCCGCATTTTACCATGTTTTCGATGCAGTGCGGGAATTTTCGGCTACTGTCAGTGGAATTTATCTTACTGAGAGACGTGGAGGGATTTTTTTTTTTTTTTAATAATATACGTTTTAGTTGCTGGAATATAAATTCCGTGTGAAAATACGGGAAAATTGTGTAATAAATTAGGGCAGAGTGTCTCGACGTGTTCCTCGTTTGCTGAAGCTCTGGGGCTAATTTTTGCCGTAGAATTCCCCCCACGTACGGAAGGGAGGACGGAAGAGAGGGAGCGAGGGAGAAATTCGGTTCGATCGAATTTTTGCGAGAACCAATCCTCGGAAGCCGAATCTAGCATTTCCCCGTGAAAGCCTCGAGTACCGAAAGAAGCGATTATTCGACGTCGCATATCCGATGCTCGCGATTAAATGAGAGAAAGTAACCCACGGAGGGGTCGTTGGACCATGTCTTCCGGAGACACTCGGTCGTTTTGATCCGATTAAAACGCGTTGGATTTAACACGAAGCCGCTCGATCGAATTCGCGTTTCATCTCGGAGAAACGTTAAACGTTCCTCGAACAGATGGGAGGAAAAGAAGACGGATTCGTAAATCGACAAGGCGGATCGTGAGTTGTCAGGACGCTGTATGAGCGTTAATGTGTGTGTCATAGCGAACGTGATGAAGCTGTGTTTCGAAAGCGTCACTCGGTAGCGAATTGTTATCAAGCGAAATCCAGTTAGTAACGTACCTACCGTGCCGCTGAATACTGGCTCATCTGCAAATCAAAGAGCTCTCGTATCATTCTTACCGATCAATTTGTTCGATATCCGCGTGAAATATCCTTACGAATGTCTCACCAACGCGCTGTTACACCCCCCCTCCCCCGTCCTTACCCGGAAGCCGTCGAAAGGATAAAAATATACCGAAAGGATAAAAATATAACGGTCTCTCGGCCGTTGTAACGCGATGATACCGCTTGTCGAAGTGCTCGATTGGACTTTACTGAGAACTCTCTCGCAACAATAAATCCTCGAGGACGATTGATTGAGATGATTTGAAAGGAGCTGTATTTCTCAGAATTATATCGCTGAGGATCAGTTAGCCGGCCGATTATTCTACTACATCGGTCACTCGCTCGGGGAAAATGCACAGACGACGGTAAACAATTGCTGTCGCACATATAAAACATTGTACATCATCTTGTTACGCTTGTATCATAGGTTAAAACGGAAATCTCCACAAGTAGGGACATCAAGGGGAACGTGAAAAAGTAGAGAGAGAGAGAGAGAGAGAGAGAACGTACAGGAAAATGACCACACACAGAAGGTTTCGATATATAGTTAAATATCTTGTTTTACAATAAAACTTAAGTAACATCTCCCCCCCTCCGCGTTGTTACATTGCATCTCTCCCATCGCGGCTCGATTTCGCGGGGGAGGGGCAGATCCGGTCTCGCGCGGATCTCGCTCGCGGCTCCACGGTGGTGATTTTTTACAAGGTTCGTTACAAAAATAAATTGGGAGGAAAGGGGGGGGGGAGGGGCAAAAAGAAGACACGTTCATAAAAAAGAAAGAGAAACACACGCGGATTCGGGCGCGAGTAGAGTAGAGCCACGGGTCGGATACTGGATGTCAAAAAATTTCGATACGATCCGGGGACGTACCGCGAGCAATCGTGACGGACGGACGGACGGAAAGACAGACAGACAGATAGACAGGCGAGCAAGATTTTTTTGCGTGCAACTCACACGACAATACCGGATACCGAAATTAAATGAATCGCTCGATTGGCGAACCGTTGGGAGGAAAAAGGAGAAAAAGACAAGAGAGTGTGTGTGACAGAAAAAGAAAGAGAGAGAGAGAGAGAGAGAGAGAGAGAGATAGAGAGATAGATGGAGAAAATAAAAAGACAACACGAGAGGAAGGTGTTCCGTGCGGAGTTGTCGCGTCGGTGGCGGTTATTGACGGCGGACGACATTCTCGGGACGTCGGACGTCGGTGGTTGTTGGGACGACGGTGACGATTACTCGGGAACGTCTCGGGAACGATTTTCAATTCTCTCTCTCATTCATGCCTCAACCGGGGTCGGCTCCTCCTCCTTTACCTTCTTCTCCTCGCCCTTCTTCGACCAGTCGGGTTTCTTCTGCAAAATCGAGAAAACATTGCGTGAAATATAACGGAGTGTGCAAGCTCGTTGCTACGTTCGAATTAGACTCGCACACTGGTTAGCGTGCATTGGGGGG